CCTTCCCAGGCGATGCTGGTGCAGGGGCTGCGCTGAGGGGCTGGGCGGTGGGGAAGGGAACTTTGCGGGGAGGGCAGAGCTTCTCCTGCTCTGCCAGAGTCAAACAACAGCCCCCCAGTCACAGAGCACTCAGGCCTGTGGCTCTTTAGAAACTTAGTCCTTTAAAGGCCCGTGGTTATGTGTCTGCTTCCACCATCTCCAAGGCTGAGTACGTGTTCAGGGTGTGCTCACAAGGGTTTGCTCGGCCCGTTGTTTAAAAGGTCTGGTACGAGTAGTTGTAGCCCAGCTCTCGGAAGCGCTCTGTTTCTGTATGAGACCTGCCGAACTGCGTTAGTCTGAGGTAAAAACTGTCCACACCTGTAGCTAGTCCAGATGCTTACAGGAAAATATAGGGAGAGGAGAACATTCTCTTCCTTGGAATCTCCCTCGAGGAGCTTCGGTAGTCCTGTCCCACCTGAATTTGTCCCATTCCTTTTTGAAGCCACTTTGAGCTCCCACAGTGTCCTACAGCAGTGAAATCCACAGCTCATGTACGATGGTTTACTTCATTGCATCTGCTTTTCTGCAACTGGATGGTCCTTGGGTCTCATGTTGGGAGAGGAAATAGCAACTCTCTTCCCTTTGTGCACCATTGTTATTATTATTATTACTTTTCCTGCTCAGTCCTAGCAGCAGCCTGTGTCCACTCAAAACTGCTGAGCAAAGAATGGCTGTACTAAGGGTGCTGTTATGACTCCATGACTTTTCTTGATGAATTCTAGCTCGTTTAGAACCCATTATTAGATAGATGTGGCCAGCTGTTGTAGCCTGAAATTCTGCATTTTGAGCTGCATTTTATTCTCCAGTCACTCTGTAGTAAGTATATTATGCAAATAACTGCAACTGCCTTTAGACTTGACCATTCTGATTTGGTACTTAAGCACAGATACTGAACTTGAGGTACTGAACTGCGTCTTCTTTTTTCTCAAACTTTTTTCAGTTTTTCAGATTGATTCTGAATGCTGGTGTCATTGAAATTTTGTACTCCTATAGCCCCTCCCAATGTGATGATGTTTGACACTTTGCTGTCAGGCATTTAAAAACATTGTGTAGTTTCCATAATCAAACACGGTAATTAAAAATGTACTGGATTCAAGATAGACCCATAGAGAACATATGGCCATTAGGAGAAAATTATTACAAGATTTTAAAATATGGGCTTCTTTTACATCACTTACAATAATGACCTGGCAGAAGTATTTCATCTAATGCATCAAACCAGGCTGAAAGGGGGCTAGGGAATGGCACCGTCTCATTGAACAAATGCTTGGACTTTGCTTCTTTCACTATGTCTGTTTAATGTGTACTAAGAGAGTGAAGATGCTTTCATAGAGTAGTAATGCAAATTATGAGAAAAATAAGTAAGCTCCCTTTTTGAGATTGTACAAATTACAGCTGGAACTGAACATGCTCTTCCATGCTTCCAGATGAATTACAGGTAAGATGCTGAATACTTAGGGATAACAAAGAGCTGTGATAGCAAATGTTTCCTTATCCCATCATTTGCCTTATGATTGCCTTATTTTAAACAATATTTAAAGATGACATCTGCACTACAGGGAAAGCATAGGGTGTGAAATGGAGGAAAAAGGTGACATGTTGTGGTTTGGGATTCCTTTTCTATTGAGGTAATATTAGCAAAGATACAAGAAAGAACAAAAAGCTGAACTTCATCTAGGTGTAGAAGAAGGTGCAGCTGTTTTATTCTAGAGGAAAAACATTTTCAAGTGCTTTCAGAGTAATAAGCAATTGATAGGGAAACATCTGTATTAAAAATTCTTATTATTTTTAATACTTTATTTCAGGTCTCAAGTGTGTGAGTTTTATAAACAATTTTTTTTTTTTTGCTTAATACAAATGTAATTTATATTTGAGGGATGGTGGTTCAGACATACAGCAGAATCATCCAACAGTAAGGTGTTACATAGTGGAAAAGCAGTTAAACTGGGCCCTGGCCCTTGAGGGCCAGCAGGGGTGGATCTTTGCTGTGTGTGAGGGGGTCAGTGCAGCTGCAGCCCCTGGGAAGCCACAGGGCAAATCAAGGACCAACCCACCCAGGGCTTTCCTGCAGTTGGGCTTCCTCTGCGGCTGTGCCGGGCAGGTGAGAACCACGCAAAGGGAAACACGGGCTTTACCTGTTGGCACTGCCTGCGTGAAGACAAGACGCACACGTGTTTGTGTATGCGATGCCAAAATGTGCCCTGAACGCCTGTGTGCTGCAGGTTCCTTACAGGAAGCTTCTCCTGGATGTGGCTGTTTGGGGTTGAGGTGGAAGCAGCAAGTGCCAAATGTCAAAGGAGCTCGGCGCTGGGTAGAGAAGGGGTGGCAGGTACTGGAATATCAGCAGAAATAAACACTCCTGTTCAGCAAACACAGCTGAAGTTAATGTAGGGTTTGGAAGGAGAAAAGTAGTTTTCTGAAGGACAGCATTGCATTGTGGTTCGGGAGGTCATTCTACCAAAGACAGTGCAGAGTAGCTTCATTCAGGCTTCCCCCCCCCCAAAGGGGGCAGATGGAAAAAAGCAGTTTAGTATATAATGCCTTACACTAGCTAGGGTATACCTTGACTTTATAGGGCATGTTTTCTTAAGTTTTTAAGATCTAACTAGAAATTAACAGAAACCAGAAATCAAATGACAGTTTTAATAGACTTTAGAACAGAGTGTACAAGTATAAAACACTGGTTTTGTATTTCAAAAGTTGCAGGAAGATAGCCAGTCATTTTAAACAGTCTTCTACAAAACATATGCCAGTAGATTACATAAAAGACACTATATACAATATAAAAGAGCAGAAAACAATCCTCACTGTAAAAATAATTTAAAACAAAGTATTTCAATTTAAAATATCTCCTCTAGCACAAACTAATACATGGTGACATGCAAGTGAAAACTAAACATATTGCATTCTTTAGTGTAGCCAAATAAGAGCTGTATTAAATTTGGACAATGAGACAACATGCCAACATTTTCTGATGAATACAGGAGGCTGTTCTTAAATATTAACTGATGTATCTTATGTTCAAAGAACAGCTACTATACATCTTCCAAAATGTAATAAATATTAAAGCAAAGTATATGAATAATCTACACCGTAGAGTTCATTTGGGCCAATGTTGAAAAAGTGGTTCATAGAAAAATGCTGTTTCACTTACTACTGCACTGTGCAAGTTTACAAAATAGTTCTAAAGGCTTGGAAACAATCTGCACTTGAAAGTTTGCAACATCCAGTTTTAAGGCAGCCTAGCACTTGAATATACAATGAATGTCATCATTTGAGAAGCTGCTTTGCTTTCAATATGCCAGGGGGAGCTAGCAGGTGGACAATTATCTTCCCAACCTGAGACATGACCTCAAAACAGCGTGTTTCCAGGTCAGGTCATTAATCTGTGTTTATCTACTCAGCAGTGTAAGCAGAGGCTCTCAGCGTTTGAGTTAGTTTCTCCTGGTTCTCTTGCATCAGTAAGTATAAAGGAAGAACTTATTCTGTTGTGCCTTCTCACATGCTGGTAGAAACACTATTCTGAACTCGGCCTGGCTTCCACGTTAGAGCCTTGGCAAAATACCAAATGCTATTTTTAATGCAAGCCGCGCTATTATTTGGCTTTTGCGTACAATGTGGAAAACGTCTACTGTGGGGATCCGTTTTGTTTAAAATGCCAGTATTGTAATTGCGAAGGAGCCAATGTCAGCGTTGCTTCATGTCCGCAGGAAGCATTAAGCTCAGTAACCTAAGCATTTTCACAGCACTTCTTCATCAGTCTAAAAGCAAGATGATTTCTCAAGTGCTTGCTGTCTCGTTTCCATTTAACTATCTACTCACATTTAAGTATGTCTCAAACATACAAAGTAACTGTTAAAGCAAAAAAATTAGCTGCCACAGTAGGTCTTAGAAAATGCCAGTGTTTAATGACAGACTAGGTGAAAATGAAAGCTTTAGCAGAGGCATAAGAAGGTTTTAAATAAACCAAACTGTTACAAAGCAAGAGGTGTGAAAATCCCATTCTTTGGTCTAAATTAGCTGTTCCCTTTATATTAGTTTAACATTCCCATGGCTTTTTCAAAACTGTTTAAAAATAATATAAGCTGAAATTCATTAAGCAAAAATATGTATTATATACATGGATGCCTGATCAGACAGATGAACTTAAAAGTGAACATAGTGACAATTGTTTAGCTATTCCTAGTACCTTAAAAAAAAAAGATGAGTTAGTGTTGAGTGCGCAGTAATAGAATTTTATTGAAAAAGGTAAAAAACTAAGCATGAAAATCTGGTTTAGTTGTTTATAAACACTACATCCTTATGGTTTTGTTGCTCTAAATTCAGACGTAAACATTCATTCTGACATGCCAAAGCTCCTAATGCTGGTGGAAAGTTCCTGTAACCAGTCAGTGATCACTTTACAACTTGTTGCTTGGATGATCAGTCCCTGCAGCTTCATTTGTGTAAGCTGCTTCATCAGCTGCCAGTTCATCTTGTTCAACTCCATCTTCCCCAAATCCAGGTTCCTCTTCCCTTTCTGGAGCATCCTCATCCTCTATGCCATTGTAAAACTCTTCGATTTCACTCTCATCCTCCACATCTAAGCTCTGACTACGACACGAACCGCTTTCACTACTACTCCCGCAAGAGCTAGAAGATATGATATCGTCTTCAGAATCTGAGTATACCTCAGCACCATGGAAAATATAGCGGTTTGGTGGTAAAAATAGATACTGAGTACCTGAAACAGAATTTCAGAAGTCAATAAAGGGGTAAAATATTCATACAAGATCTTGCAGTCTTCTGGTTAGAAGGCACCTGCATAGATGTATTTTCAACAGTGAAATGTAACTGACAAATTGGATTACATCAGAAATGCATTTATTTCCATGTATTTACTATGAAGCACATACCAAATGCTTCACTGGAA